CTTCCTCTACGTTCTACCTACTCGCTCCCTTGTCAGTCTGCCCTCTTCCCGTACTCGCCAATACCAGTTGTGGCGTCTGCCCGACCTCCGCGTAATACTAGAGCTCTTACTATCTTAAGCTCTCCACGCTTCCTGTGTCCTGAGTTACTTATGACGAAACTTGGCTTATCCATCCTCAACTCCGACCCCCGATCTCTCTGGGACAGTGACAATGATTTGTTTGATCAAATGACACAACGCAAGTCCTTGGCCGATTTCCACCAGTGCATGCTGCCCACCCCCGACAACCACATAGAAGCAGTGTACTGATTTGCGTACTCTCACTCACACACACACACACACACACAGCGTAACAAGGAACATTAAAACAGTGTTGACTCTTGTCTCTGAAGACAGATAAGCAAACATTTTTTTCCAACTAAAAATGGATGTAATTAAACTATGTATTGAAAAAAATAGCTTAAGTGTTTAGAGATGGTAAATATATCCAATTTTAGTGACAACCAATTTCCTGAATTTTAAGCATTCAGTGAGTGAGCTGCCAATTTTGATTTTGTGTTGCTCTTTACCCAAATGACATTGTTTTTTGTGTTTTTTTTTTTGGAGGAGGAGGGGGCAAAAGCAGCAATACTGTGTTTGAATATTAGACTCTGTATCCGGCTCTCTTGTGTATGTTAACCACTGACATGTCATTCCTCTGCTTCGGTTTTATAGTGATTGTGAGGCATTCAATGCAAGTATACAATTATTTTCTCATTAAAACCCAGTGTGTGTTGTGTTTTTATAAACGATGCCTTCTCGTTTGACTGTGGGAGGGAGGTCAGAGGACTGAGTCGCCGGCGGCATCCGGTGCCCTTGGCCTCCGCTTCTGTGTGGCAGGATCTGCTGCTTGCACACTTGGAACCAAGAAAGCATCATAGCTGGCGGGGTGCCCCTTTTGCTATGTGGTCCCCCGCTGCCCTCGATAGAAGCCAGGATCTCCCTCCGAAAGGACCCACTGAAATACTGCAGGTGCCTCTTGATGAGGTAGGTAGTCTCCAAGGTCAAAGAGAAGGTAGGACAAATGGTAAAACTCAAGCTTTGCAGGTGGCTCTTAGGTTTTCATTTTAAATATATTTTTATTGATTTCAGAGAGGAATGGAGAGGGAGAGAGAGAAACACCAATGATGAGAGGGAATCATTGGTCTGCTGCCTCCTGCACGGCCCACACAGGGGATAGAGCCTGCCACCAGGCCATGTGCCCTCACCGGGCATCGAACCGTGACCCCCTGGTTCATAGGTCGCCTGGGCTAGGCTCTCGTTTTTATTAGTACATTCCCAGCACCTTACTTGGCTCTCCTCTGAAGAATTCAGAATTTCAGACTTTACAGGTTCGTCAGCTCCCTCCCCAAATTTCATCCTGCCTTCCTCCCTTCTGCCTCCTCACGCCCCTTCCGGATCCAGCTGCTTTGTTCCGTCTCTCAGCCCCTTGCACTTACTTGCCCCCCTGACCACCTGCTTCCTGCTCTCCCTCACCCACCGCCTACCCCACCCTTCCCTCTTCCTCGAGTCTCCCCTCCAGCTGCCTCTTCATCTCTCCTCGTTTATGTGGCTTCCAATCTTTTTTCAACCATGTCTTCCTCTTCTGCAGATCTGGGGACTTCCCTGTGGTCCTGGGTGGCATCTTCTCACCTCTGGGTGTAGAGTTCTGTACCGGGGGTTGGGGAGAGGTGATACAGCCCCTTTGAAAATGTGATCAAGCTAGTAATAATGTGTAACATTTATGAAGCACTGAGAATGCGACAGGCACTTCATGGTCCCCATGCAGGTCATCTATTTCTCACAATCATTGGATGGACTATTTGATTTCCACTTTACATGTCAGGAGACCTGCCGCAGCTCATAAATGGCAGCACTTGAATTTGAACCTGGGCACTCTGACTCAAGGCATTGCTTTTTTTTTTTAATATATTTTATTGATTTTTACAGAGAGAAAGGGAGAGGGATAGAGAGTTAGAAACATTGATGAGAGAGAAACATCAATCAGCTGCCTCCTGCACACCCCCTACTGGGGATGTGCCCGCAACCCAGGTACATGCCCCTGACCAGAATCGAACCCGGGACCCTTCAGTCCGCAGGCCGACGCTCTATCCACTGAGCCAAACCAGCCAGGGCAAGGCATTGCTTTTTTAAAAAATATATTTTTAATTGTTGAAAGTAGTACAGATATTTCCCCTTCCTTCCCTCCCCCCCCCCCACCATCTTCACTATGGTATTGCTTTTTTTTACACTATTACAGATGTCCACCCCCCTTACCTCCAGCTAGCTCCAGCCACCCCTCCCCCAGCCTTCACCACTCCGTTGCCTGTGTCCATGGGCTACATTAACCACTCTTCACACAGGAACACTGGCCACTGTGCATGCACAGTCAGTAGATCTGATAAGGTGTGCAAGGTCTTGGTGGCCTTACAGCATCTCACTGTACTCTGCAGGAAGAGGGCTCTAGTGGATCAAGGCCAAGGCTGTGATGAGGTGCAGAGTCGGGGGGGGCAGGGGGAGAATGGGGTGTCTTCATCAGAATGAATTCCCTCTGGGCTCTTCTCAGGAGATGGTGAAAAGATGGTGAAAAGATGGTGAAAAGCTCTTCCAGGAGATGGTGAAAAGCTGGCCCAGGCATCCCAGTTGCCAAAGAGGAATGAGAAGAGACCACAAATGGGGTGCTGAAAATGTGCTAAAATCAAGTTGTGGTGATGATTTGACACCTCTACTCGAAATCATTGAACTGTACACTTGAAATGGGTACATGTTATCATATGTAAATTATACCACAAAGCTGTAGCCAATAAGAAGGAATAAAGAAACCAGAATAAGAGGCCATGGAAAGGGTCCAAGGAGACCACCCAGTCCTAGATGGAAAGGAATGGTTGGAGTCCTCCATGCCAACACGTGACTGCCAGATTCACCAGCTAATGAGGAAGAAAGCTTGCTGGCCTGGGTGTCCAACCCCCTCCCCCCCCCCCCCCCGAACCAGGACCAGTAGTGTTGTGATTGGCTGTGGGTTCAGGCGTCCTGGTCCATTCTAACATCTGGGCATTAGGCAGAGCCAGTGAGTCAAGGTACATGGGACTGAGATTTGGTGACTGGGCTGCTGGGCACTCGGGCTGAGAAAGGCCGGGGAGTGGGATGTGGTGTCTGGTGCGGTCCGAGTAGAAGGCACTGAGGAGGCTCTTCCTGCAAAGCCCCCCACGTGAAGCATGGACCCCTCATGGGTGGGGGCAGGCACACAGGCTTTTTATCTGTGATGAGAGGTAGAGGGGACCTGTGGTCACTACCCCAGGGTCATCTCCCCTGTTTTTTATTGGTAGCAAAGAGACTATCTTGTGGGACACATGAGGCCATGAGGTTTCTTTGGAGCCTTGCTCATTCTAATTATGGAATTCCTGGGCCACAAGAGGGTAGAGACTAGATCCCTCCCTACACAGAACCCATACAACATTCAGAACGGGCTGCTGGGGCACAGATCACATGGGAGATTGAAAAGGAGTCATTCAAAAAGTTTGAAATGTGCAAGATGACACTACGGCACAGAACGGGGCCTTGGGAAATAACTGGAGAGGCCACGCGGGCCATTTCCAAAGGTGGCCCGAGCATCAGATGCTTTCTCTCAGAGAAAGAAAAATGTCTGCATAATACAGCTTTAAAAAAAAAAGAAAAGAAAATCCCTGGAATAACGTAATCTCAGTGTCATGAACCCCAGGGGGAGTTATTTAGACACTGGATTCAGAGTTCCCAGGTGGTGGGCTCTGAGCAGCTTGGAAGGGATCTGCTGGTCCCCTAGAAAGTACGAGTCTCTCTCTTT